CTTTGGTGCACAATTTCTTTAACTCTGAAAGTCTAAGTTGCTGGAGAGCATAAATATTTAACAAAAGGAATGATAAATAGTAACTTCTCTACACATTCCATTTCTAATTGTATCATGCAAGTCTTAATCTAATATCTGATTTATTAAAAATATTTAAATGAACACATCTGTTCATAAGCATGTAATTATCTGAAATAAAATATTCGAACAAAGTTAAAATTTTAATTTTTAAAAATACAGGTGAATTTTTCTACTTTTATTATTTTCAAGGAATCTGAACTTTTATTTTTCTTTTGAGCAGACACTCAATTTGCAACTGAAAAATAATAAGTTAATGAACACTTACCTGGAAAAGTCCAGTTTTATTGAAGAAAGTAAACTGTGCTCTTTTAACTAATGCAGAATATTCTTCACTTAAATTCTCAAGTAAGTTTGGAGGCAAAATTACAGAAGCCAATGCATCCACTTGTCCATTATCAAAGTCCATCTGTCACACAGAGATATATTGGTCGAGCAACCACAATTAAATTACAGTAATAACTACTGCACATGCTGAGTAAGGCAGGAGAACAACTGCAGTATCATCTTGGCTAGGACAGGCTTCCCTGTACCTCTACCACAGTCACTGTTCTCCCGGTGAATCCCCTACGGACAAAGGCATGGATCTCACCGAGTCTTGCAAATGTGGCAAAACCAATTTTAACGAAGGCAACTGAGAAATGTACAGATCAGTTAACATTTTCAAGGATGAGAACTGGATTTACACTTTATAGATTTTGAGCTTTTCTCAAAACATGCAGTGAAAAATAATTACCAAAAAAAAATGAGTAGAGTTAATCTTTTTGATCACTAAAAGTGAGTATCTCCACATAGAGCAGCTGAAGTTTTCTGAACACTCTGCGATGTCATTTTTTCTGAACCCACAGATCAGGCCAGAGAGTGTTTTCCTGCAAATACTTTAAATGAGACTGAGGCTGACTGAGTTTTCACATTAAAATGACAAACAGAATTATCCCTTAAGAGCAGAATAAAGTTCTTTCTTACTTCCAGATTTTAAAATATTTTTTCTTGGTTTGTCTCCACAGTTAAGTATTACATGCCACTTGTGTGTTCTCCCATGTCAAGGACGATGTTTCAATCATTTTATTGGCCTATGTGGTCAACACTATCGAGTACACAGTAGGAACTTGAAAATTATTTGTTGAAGTGTCACCTGAACAGGTCAAAGAGGCTCTCCATTCACGTGGCCCCAGCTTTCCTGTCCAGCCTCTCCATCACCTGCCCTTCCCAGCCCTCTATATCACTGGTTCTCAAAATACAATCCTCAGACCAGCAGTATCAGCTACACCTGGGCACTGAAAACTGCAAATTTTGGAGATCCGCTTGTACCCATTAAACTAGAATCTCTGGGAATGAGATCTCACAATCTGTTTTGACCAGTTCTCCAGGTGTGTGATTATAACATACACCTGGAAGAACCACTGGCAAAGAGATTACAGCATCCTTCTTCCCACTTTTGAGCCCTCAATAAAGCTCTTTCTTCTGACTAAACTTATCCCTGACCCCCACTCCCAACAGGGTGGCCCCCACTCATGCTTTAATACTTAGTTCTACTAACACCTCTTGAGAAGGTAAGCTGCCCACCTCTATCACCTAGGCTTTGAAAGTTTACCTCCTCCATGTGTCTATACACCTTATGGCTACACTACCACTGACCTTGGTCAGCATTTGGACCTGCCTGCCACGCCTTGGACCAATATCTCCTTGAGCAACTGGTGGGTGATCAGAAAGTTTTATCTGTTGAATTAATCGAAGTTAAAGAAACCACTGGCTCATTACCTGAAAATATGATTCATTACTGTTCGGAAGACTGATGCTAAAATTTAAAATTTCATTAGTCCCTGGAGATAGGGATGACACTCCGAGAGCCAAATTCCGAGTTGTAATATTCACACGTGATGTGCTATTTAGGTCTATCTTAAAGGCCAATTCATCGATTGTTTTTAAAGCACTAAAGAAATGACAAATAATACCACCATTAAGTAACACATTTTAGGTAAACACATAGGATTTACTGCATGACAAAATACGAACCAAATAAAATTGTGTTTAAATTGTCTGATCTTAACATAAATACAAAATCACACCAAGCCACAATAATAGCAGTTAATGCACAGAATCATAGTGATAAATGCATCCTCAAGAAAAATATATTTTTTAAGGAAAATCAACAATTAAATCATACTAAACACTCTGTTTCTCACATATCTTAGCTTTTCTTTCTTCATATGAAAAACACTCTTCCTACTTCATAACTGAGTAAATCAAAGAAAATAATGTAGTAAAATTATTTTTTGAACTGTAAGACACTGTAAAAAAAGTCTGATTGTTATGTAGATAAGATAAATTACCCACATAATAATTTGTTTTAACAAATATAAAATATTCATCAAAGAAATTTGTTTGAAAGGAAGGAAACAGAAAAAGTTAAATATCTTAATGTTAATACATCAAATAACATAACTGGACATAAACTGCATTGTATAAAAATAGGTACATTTTTTCCCTGCACTAGTCATTTTCATTGCAGAAGTACAACAATCACATAGCTGTGGCAATTTTTTTTTTTTTTTAAGGCAAGGCAATCCTTAGTTGACCTCACAGATTGCAAGGACCTTCTCAGCTTACAATCCTTTATTTTTTATTTTTTACACCTACAGCACCCGTCTTCCTAGGTAGTTTCCCATCAAAGTACTAACCAGGTCCAACCCGGCTTAGCTTCTGAGATCAGACAGGACTGGGTTTGTTCAGGGTGGCCTGGCCGTAGACAGCTGTGGCAATTCTATGTCACAGTTCACAGGACAGTGACTTACAGTGACTAAGTTATGTCTAAAAGATATGAACTGAATGTTTTCTAAGTGTCTCCTTCCAAGCAAAAAAAAAAAAAAAAAAACTGTCATAAATTCACATTTGCGATAGTCTGTTCATCTTTTGAATTAACCCCAGTTAATATTTTTCAGATAATAATTAAATACTGATTATGCTTTTCTAGGACTATTTAATATCTCGCCAAAAGCCAATCTCAATCATTTTGTAAATTAAAAATCTCCAAAAAAAAAAAAAAGAATTTGAAGTTCAGTTTGTGAATAATCTTGGGAAATATCAATGAATCTTTCAGAGATTTAAATTACAAATTCCGGAGAACAAGTGTTCACATATGTAAGAAATTATATAACTATACATGCATCCAATAAATTTTACTCTCCAGAAGAAAATAAATACTTACTCAGAAGAAGACGCAAGCAAATCACTGTCTGGACTGGTTAAGATATTAGAAAATATATTCATTAAAGTTGAGCCAAGAGTTATATCAATGTTTTCTTCTTTATTCACAATTCTTTTGACCTGTTCTACAATGCTGATAATATTGTCTGAATTCAAGTTTTGCCCATCTCCAGTTAAATTTAAAATCTGATTGGCAGCCTCCCCTAAAAAAAGGCAAAAGAAACAACATACAAAGTTTTACCTGTTTTTTTTGAGCATTTCCAGGATCCTAAACATAGTATGATATTCAGCTTCAAAGCTGAAGCAACAAATTAGTTTTTCTGTGTGTAACCCCTATTCACAATCTTCACAGAACAAAAATATTTCTTTACATACAGAGACTAACTTCTCTCTTTAGTAATATACAAATTGTGCTTTTTAAGCAACTTAGGTAAATAACAGAGGGACCAATATTCACATATAATTCTAAGAGAAATGCACCCACAATCATTAAATAAGTATACATTTGCAGTTTAAAAACAATACAAAACTATAAAACATTAATGTAAATGTCGATTTATATATTACTTTTAAGTCTTCCCTAAAATTTTTAATTTTGATTTCCTTCAGAATGAATACAACAGAGAGGTAGAATGAGGAAAAACGTAGTTTTTACCTTAAGCAAGTAAAACAATTATTTGCCTAGCTTTTAATATTATGATAGTATTATATAGCAGAAGAATATGTCTGAAGAGGATGAAAACCATGAAGTATGATGTCATTTCAATTTGTCTTTGAGAACCAAAGAAAAATCGTTCACTTACTTAAACAATTGGAGATATCAGGAGGTCCCCAGTAGGCTAGCGTTGTGTTGGTTGGACTACGATAACTATGAGAGAAAAAAAGTAATTAGAGTATTTGGCATAAATGACATTATAACTGACAAAATTAGTTAATGAAAAGTTTTACAATTTGCCTTGATATCTAGGTAAGTTTCATTTGAAAATAAAACTGTAATACATTAAAATTAAACTTAAATTAAAAATTCTTATTGGAATAAATCAGATGCATGAATCATGGAAACAAATTACTAGCAAGGGACTATAGCCTACCTTAGGATATGATACACCAGGTTACTAAGGTTAAAGGCATATTTGGTAACATAGGTCAAATACTGCTTGAAGAACTTTCCAAATAAAATCTGATGTTGATTTCACAGGTCACAGTCCACATTTTATACATGAGGAAATAGACTAAGACAAGTCAAAGAATTTTCCAAGTTCTCTCAGCCAGGAAGAGGCAGAGCCACGTTTCACACTCAAGTTAGTGAGTCTCTATAGTCCCTCCCTCCCATGTTCCCTCGCCACCATGTATCAAACATAACAGCAAGTTCAAAATATTTCTACGCGGGCAGTTTCAGTTTCTGCATTCCTCCACCAACAAAATTCTAACTAGAGGTAGGGAGAAGGGAGAAGAACAGGATTAGCAGACTGCCGTACCCCAGATCCTGTCTTTAGGCCCTCTTCTTCTGCCTTTTCCCCTTGCAACAATAGCTACTCCAAATAGTTTAAAAATCTTGAAATTTCAGATACATATTCAAAGTCGGTGAGCTTGCTTGGCTCATCCATGTACAAGGTGCTTTGCTCTAAAGCCACCCTCTGGTTTCCAAATTTCTCCATCTTTGTTTGGAGAAGGCTGAATTAGCATGTGTGTTGGAGTAAAAATGTTTTCATTGGTACCCTACCTGCCTCATCTTCAACCCTCATGGAGTGTATGATTTAGGCACACACATAGATTCCTGCCCTTCTTTCTAAATATTATACAATGCCTGGGAACTGCAGTGTAGCATGTGCAACCCTGGGGAGGTAGGTGACATAGCATTTGCTGGCAAGAGCCAACGAAAGTATTACCATATCCGTGAAGCATAAACATCGGACTTCCCTGGGCAATGCAGCTTATATTCAGAAGGTAAAATGGCTGGCCAACGATAGCCTTTGGGATCCTCATCGCTAGGACAAAAACCTATTTGAAAGCAAAAACTAACATGAGAAATATTAACCTATAAAGTTAGAGGTATAAGATGAGAACGAAACAACAATGCCGGTAATTAGGTATTTATTTTACGTAATACTAAAATATTAGGTTTTTTATGTTCGGAATTTGTAAAAATTTAGAAGTTATGAAAAACAAACATTTAATACATTTCAGAGACAAAACTGCAAAACCACCAAATAAAAACACGCAAGTATAAACATGAAAAATACATTATAATTCTAATGAAATCATTAGCAGATAAAATAAGTAAAATGAAGTTTTATTAAAAAAATACACACTGCATAAAATCAAGACAGTCCTGAAAAATTCAAAACGTAAATTCTCTGTTGGTCATTTTTCAAAGGAGTGCCTTCACGGTGATGTCACTGAATTGCAAGCATATTTTAGGGAAAAATTTCCAGCTGTTCTTAAAGCATCTTCTGCCTGAAAGTTTTCTGGGAGAATGGCAAGCAGACACCTGTGAGACATCACCACCATCTTACACACACGCCTTCATCCTCAAACCCCACCTGTTGCTCGAGAACTCACTGGGTAAGTGTCATGTCATAAAGAATTCATATTTGACCACTTAAAAAAAATATCAAAATAAAAGCAATATATCAACAACAATAAAAAATCTTCTATTTCGGTACTGAAAAATAGCAAGTTATACCAGACTACTGAGAACAAGTATTGCAGTCACCACTTTTTGAACATTTAAATGACTTTTCCATCTATATCCTGAGCCGTAAAATTACCAGGCTTTGGCTTTTTTTTTTTTTTTCAATTGGTAGAAACTTTTCTTCATAGAACCACTTGCAGAAAAACAATAGAGTGTAGGATATAAATTAAGTGGTATAAATTAACAGCTAAGTATGTGGAGAGAGTTGTTCTGGGTTCCTCAGCCTCTGAGGATAGAGAAAGTGTTGGTCCTCACAGGGCTACTTTGTCATATACGCACTACCACTTATCAAGTTACTTCTTTGTGGAAACTCTGAGGCATAAAAGGGTAACAGCTATACTCTCCCCACCCCCAAGAAGCCCTTCCTGTTAATGAGCAAGAGTTTTCCCAAGTGTGCACAGAAACTGTTGATGATGATGATGATGATGATGATTTGCATTCTTCCATTACTGTGAGTTCTCTCTAACTGTGTATGTTGACACACTAGAGATGGGTGGTTCCTTGTAGAAGTGAAAATGCCTGCTTCTTCATTACACTGTGATTCTGGCCTCAGTCATACTCTCGCTTTTAGAGGCTGAGGAATATACCTGCT